GATTTCTTTATTGTCCATAAAAGGAGATTTCTGGAAGGAACATTGTTACGGGGGTTTGCTCCATATCATAGGGTTACCAGGGCAGGGGAGGATTTAGGGGGGGATGCGGCCCGGCCCCGGTCCCCCTTTTGGGAGGTAAAAAAAGAAAAAAAGGGAAAAAAAGAGAGAAAAAGAAAAAAATGATAGCCCAGAATGCCTCAAATGTTATGTTCGGACGTCTAGAACTCAGAAATTTCGCGGGGGCATGCCCCGGACCCCCTACGACAGTGTTGTCTCAATCGGCCCAACTTTCGGCCCCCCCTTCCGGGCCCCCTCCCCCTTTTGGACATTTCTGGATCCGCCCCTGCAGGAGAGGGAAAACCAATTAATACTCTCGGATGTGTCGGAAAAAATGCATAGGCCTATCTATTATCTGAATCATAATAATATAATAATAAACTTCACAAAAAAATAGGGTTTTATAGGACTGAACAACTTAAAAATTGCTCCAGATTATAAACTCCAGATTTGGAATGTATGCTCTTTCTGACGTAGGCCAATAGTAGGTATCCATAGTATAAACATATTTGCGGAGAGGGGACAGAGTGGATGTCGGTGTGACTTTAAGAACCATGAAATAAGAGCCTGAAAGGTGTGGTGCCTCTGTCTGACAACACTCTGAATTCCATTAATCTGCCACTCCTTGTATTCGAATTAGGCCACCGGTTAGGCCTAGTAATTTGGGTCCTGCTGTTAATGTATCGATTATACAGTAGAACCTCTCATTTGAAACACCCCTATTAAGACACCCTTATTAAAGGGACACTTTTTTGCAAGCAAGTCGAGAGGAAGTGTATTTAACGTTGCAGTCAACCCCAGGGGACACCCCTATCTATTAAGGGGACTAGATATTTATTTGATGACACTATTTATCGGTGGCACTCACAAACTGATACGGTCTAATTAGAGTAAACTTTTCGGACCTTATCAGTGGTTCTGCTGAGTAGTTCTCAAAGTCTTAATTATAATGGTCATCTATCTTCCCAATTTCTTTGCGATGTAAATGCCATGGTTTTGATAAATTACAAGGCTTGTGGTCTTGGTATATGCACAGATTATCTGAAGTTTATACATGGAGAGATTAGAGATAAATCCATGGTTTACACAAAAAGTTTTTATCGCTCATGGTTTATAAATGGAGCCTCTACAGTTTATGCTGACCGTCTAGCAAATACTTCCCGGTAGGTTACGTGGATAAGGAGGTAATAAGAGTTAACTGTACTGTGTAAAAAAAAAAAAACAAAAAAAAAACTACACGCATGTTGGTTTGTCCACCCGGTTTATCTCTGGGACTGGCCATGGACAATTGATTCCTGTACCAGCATAAAGATGGATTTATATCAAGTTATATAAGGCAACATGCGTTATATAATATCATGGCTGGGATGGAACAAAAAACAAGGAAATCGCGACCGCCTCATATTTTTTCAATTCCCCAGACGAGAGCATGTTTTCATGCGACTGCCACATAGGCCTACAAACAACGAAAACAAATTAAAAACTCTTAGTATTTAGGATTTCATTTTTTTTTTTCAAATTTTAATGAATTAATGGTCAAAAAAAGTCTATAGTTTACAGACGTTTTAATTGTAGAAACTCACGGAATAAAATAATAGGAATATTAATTATTGAAATAATTATACATGTAACTTGTTCGCGGTTTTTTTTTTTTTATTTGTTTTTTGTTGTTTTTTTGGTTTAAAAAAATATGGAAGTCTTTGGATTTACGTTGCAGTGTGTCTTCTACACGCATCCTATTAATGTTGTTGTATGCTTAAAAGGTAGTACCTTCATGTTCATTAGGGGCCGTTGGCTGAGGGAATGCCTAACCCATATTCAGTTAAAATGCTGGGTACTATAATTACAGTGCAGCCTGTACCCTATACAGTACCAGGATATTGCTACTACAAGCGTGACCTTGCCACGAGGCAGGCTGTCTATATAGAAAGGCGTGCGGAAAGTGTGTTGAACCACTGAACCATTGAACTGTTTGAGGCACATACCAAACCACGCCACGTAGACAAAGGACCCGTACTTGGTATCACCACGGCCTAAGTAAGTAGGACAAAGGCTAGTGGTGGTGGACAGAATAAGTGTGTAGCCGCCTTTGTCCTAGTGCTAATTTCGTTCACTTCAACCTTTGTTTCACATGGCTTGACCACAATAATAATGCCTAGCGTATTTTTGGTTTCACAGCCCCCCCCCCCAAAAAAAACCCCCTAATTTTTAACGTCGTTTAAAGTTGCAAACATTAGAATTAATATTAAGATATCGGTACCTCAACGAATGAATGGTATGGGATTAATAAGCCTAAATAAATGCGAATGAAAACATTAAAATTATACTTTTATACGGGTCTGAGCTATACAATGAAATTTGTAGGTAGTACAGTATCTCCAGACTCGCTCTATTCCTGGTATGGGCATTTATAATACGCCTATTCCTTGTGTTGTCATACCCCTGATTTTCACCCAACATTAATAAAGAACACTACCAGACTAGAAATTGACAATTATTTGATTTCGGGGTGTGAATTGCATAGTCAACGTAGCGTGGGAACTTTTGGCGCTAAAATAGACGATTTGCGTCCCAAGGCTGAAGTCAGGTCTTAAAATAGTTTCGATTAACTGGGTAACTGCACGATACTTACGCTTTACTAAATCTGCGCGATTGGCCATGCATGCACCATCATTGAATAGGATTTTATCTCATGCAGTAATGATCACCCGTAGACATAAATCCATTATGAAGTGTTGTGAAAATTCAAAATGTTTATACTTGGGTCCTGGACCGAATTATATTAATATTGTTATATTAATTGTAATTGTCGCCGTCGTATTTTTCGTCATCATCTATTAATACTTCATGTAACATGGAAGCTCATAGGCGTGTTCAGCAAAGGCGTGTTCAGCAAAGCCGTGTTGATATATGAAATAGTTATGAACCAAAAAAAAAAACATGATTGAGGAAATAAAAAAAAAAAAAAGTACAGTATTTACAAACACTTGAATGAATGTGTTTATTGCTCACCAAAACAAGTACTGTACAGTACTAACAAAATGTAATCATCCAGTTTTTTTTTCATTTAT